TACGCATGGACGAGCTTTTAGCTTTCTCGCGCGATAATCGTCAAAAATTCCTAGCGCGCGCTGCCCTTTTCACCTCCCATTCTCGTGCGCTACAAAGTGTAGCCGTAAACACAGTATAATTTCATATGATGAATTCAAGCGACGTTGCGACCTAAAGATATAATTGATATTCGGTGCTCTCGATGAAAGGTCCCAAATTTAGAAATTCGTGTCCACCCCACCTATTTTAATATCCGCTTATCAAAGAACACACGAAATCAGCATAAAAAAAAGTTTACCTTTTTAGCTGGCTTTGCTTTACCTTCGAGAAATAAAACGAGGAGTCGTGCTTCCCTCGGAATTTTTTATTAGAAAATCAAAATTAAGACTCCCGGAACTTCAATCGTCTTGTTTGATGACATCAAAAGCGAGAAAACGTATGTCCAGAATTCTTCCAAAATACGTCGAAATAAAAAGACATATCCGCAACGTGACATTTGTGATCAACTGATCACATTTGTTAAACATACTGAAAACTTTCCTTTTGCATAACGATCAATAAATAAAATCAATGACCGTAAAAATATAAAGTACCACAAAAATATAAATATATACCGTAAAAATATAAACGAAGAAAGGGTTGAGGCCGGATATAACTATAATTTCTCTCGGTGTATCAATTTATGGACATACCCTTTCACCACAGCAATTTATTTCACAAGAATTTTAGGCATATCTTTTCTCGCCCTTGACGCCCTCATTCAAAATCAAAATTGTCCCGGCGAGGAAACAGGAGTCTCGCATAATTTAATTTACGAACATCGGTGCAAATTTTTTCATCACAGTCGCGAGATGAATCTTGCGAGTAACCTTCCCACGCGAGTGTATACTTCAACGCGAGCTCAATCTCGAACTGCAAAGCCGCCCTTTCCGCGCTATCCTTTTCGGATACTTGGAACGTCGCGAGATCAAAGTTCTCTGCCGTAGACGAATTTTATCTTAAATATGCACCCTCAAAGGTTACATAAGAATCTTATAATGTGACTACCATGAGCCGCGATTCATCAGAGATCAAAGCTCCTCGCCGTGTAACGAGGTTGGGGATGCCGTGTATCGATTTTTCGAATTTTTCATACATCGGTAAGATCTCCTCGCGCGGAAGATGGGGGAGAGAACCACGTTATTATCGCGTCCATGAAAACGTGAAAGCCCGTTGTGAGTACCCGGTAATCCTGCCATAACCGTCCGCTCGCCGCTGAATCCTGATTTAGTGTACAATTTGTACGAGAGCATCGTTACCATTATGTCGAAAGATTTGTCGGACGTTCATTTCCCAGCGAGTGATTCCGTCCGCGTGCTTTTTCTCTCCCTCTCCTCGTCCTTCTTCCCTACCCTCCTTCTCTCTCTCTCTCTCTCTTTCCCTTGTTCTCGCTCGCGAGCTCGCATGCGCCCTGCAATAAATTCCAATCTTGTGGTCTAAAGTGTTACATCGCGTTTTGAATAGCGCCGATACAGTCGGGCCGACGCGTTGGTAAACTTTGCGCCGGCACTTTTAAGCTTGTTTAAACTGCCAACTTTTATCGGCCCATTACTCACCCCGAGAGGGTGGTTTTAACCGATTAGTTCGCCATCGGAATCGATAGGCGACAGATACCCGCGGCCATAGAACGCGCGCGACGCGGCGCCACCCGATTTATCTACGCACGTTACGTGAGCGGCAGCGGTGCGTGTACTTTGTGCGTGTGTGTTGAAACAAAAACGTGATTGCGCTAATGTTCGTTCGTTAACAATTTCTGCACGCCTGCAAGAATGTTATTATAGGAAAAGAGAGAGAGAGAGGGAGAGAGAGGGGGGAGAGGGGAAGGGGGAGGAGAAATAGTGTGTCAATATTGTTAGCCAGTAACTCGGTCAACATTTGTTGATTGTTTGCATTAGTCATTTTTGGTCGGTCAACACAGAAACCGCGACGTCGGCTGCCAAATGCCGGCGATGTATACGTAACTTTGCAAACACCGGCGGAACTTTCGTTTTCACGTGTGGAAGGGGGCATACCGGGCGACAAACAATTCAGGAAAACCCGGGTTCAACATATCCAGCTAGGATGCCCGCACGGGATCAATCGGAAATGCGCTAATTAAACGTGTACATAAGTCTCGGTCGCCTGGCCTCTTGGAAATAATTGCACATCGTCAAGCACGTTTAATCGCGGGAGAGACAATGCCCGGTGCAACGTTCCCTCGTGAACAAACATAATAAAACGTAACAACACGATAAACAACAATGACGATAATTAATTAGGGAGACCCTCACGAATTTAGCTGTTTCCGCAGCAGCGGCGAGGCAGCCGTTGGATTCGGTTGTAAACGCACGTTTCATCTTGAACGTTCGTATCCGATTGGGACAGCCGTCGAGCGGGGAGGTGTTCCCCCGAAGAAGAAGTAAATTTCACGGGGATGAATGTGACGGCCGAGCTCGTGCGAACGGAGCTGCGTTTTTTTTTAATCCGGTGAAGCCGGTTATTCAGACGCGGCTCCTCGCGAGAAATCTTCAAACGGTCTCGAGATGAAACACGTTAATTATGGACGTAACGTACATATTGCAATCTATATTCTTCCGTTTGTTTCCGTCCCCCTTTTTTCGGCCGCGATATAAAGACTCCGCGAATTCGGTCGCGCTTATACGGAATACGATATAGTTTCGCTCGTGCCGGGAAACGGAAAACGGTTTTCCGAGGAGGGGAGATGCGGTAGGTGCCGTGAAAGACCAATAAAATCGACATTGCACCGCGAGGAAGTATCGTTTCGTAACGAACCAATTCCACGTCGGTCAAAGTAAATCGTCGTACGTGGCGCGGTGTATACGGTATTGCGCAACAAATCCGCGGCGGTGTCGCGCCGCAAACCCCCGATGCTGGTAAATATTCCGGTTTTCCCGGCATTTGCCGGAGCTCATTGGGCATGCAAACCCGCTGGCGTATAAATTTATATAAAATTACACCTCCCTTTTGGCCGTGTCGCAATTTGGAATTTACACGCCGCGGTGTACACGTTTGTCTGTTTCCGTGTTATTCTTTGTTGGCAATACGACCGATACACTTTCCTTGATGCACGTCTGATAAATCCTATGCGACATTAATCTGCCGCGCGATTAATTTCAACAGGGCAGCTCAAATAGTTGCGGCTTTACCGGACAAGATTTCACACATCCTGTTGAATAAATATGTGAAATTCACTTGTTCTCGGTTAAGAGTATCGAGGGAGCAATATTGTACGTCACCAACCATCAATCTCGAATCTTAAACGTGAGCTGAGGCTACATTGGGCTATAACTGAGATCCAAAACGTTCTTTTCTTCAGAAGGAAATCTCGTCAGTGGTTGGTTCTCCTTCCGAAAAGGATTAGTCCTCCTTTTATTATCTTTCTTACGGTATGATCACGAGTCAACTACCCGAATCGAATCACAATCCATCGTCTACTTTCCGTTCGATCGGACCTCACCGAGACGAAGTCTTATTATTTCGAATTTCAAGCCGAGACTCGGCAAGCAAACATATTCGACTTGTTATTGGCACGTTCCCTCGGAAGCTCTCTTTTCTCAGGACGACATCGATTCGGAATGTGCGCGCCGCTGCACAGATTGCGCCCGCGAAAATTAAGGCGCATGTTTACGAGAGATACTTGGCGCGCGTGCACGCGCCCACACCGCCGAGGATCTAATCTGTATTCCGTGTCCTCGCCGTGTTTCTCGCTCGAACGGTGTCTCTCTCGTTCTCTCAAACAGCTGCGTCCGAAAAGCGTATAACGCGACGCGAGCTCGCTCGCTCTCTCCCGGCGGGGCCCGGCGAGTAAATCGCGGGCCCGTACTCTGCGCACCCCCGTGTAACAAACGAGCCGCTCGCCGCTTTCTTTCCCGGCGTGCTTTATTCCTTTTCACCTCCTCCGAGAGTCCTCGAGGTTCCTCGCCCTCGGCATTGCGCGGACGTAAAGGCCGGCTCTCCCGGGTAAAAGGCGGCTCGTTAAGGACGCGAGAGAGATCTCGCCGGCTTCCAGCACGGATGTATACGTGGACCCAAGGGGGCTTAACTATACAAGGCGCGCGCGAGCTGCCTCGGGAAGAAATAATGCCGGGATAATACCGTATATACCTATAGAGTACCGTCCGAGGATTATTGTATTGATCAAAAGACCGGCCGAAAGGCACTCGGAGCAGCGTACACGCCGGAAGAAGTTGGATATCAGGAGGTGCGCGCGTCAGGAAGTCGCGTGAAGCCGTTTAATTCTCCCTACGAATCAGATCGGAGGACCGTGTCATTAAGTTGTTCGGTAAATTCGTGTGGATTTTCACGAAGAGTTTCAAGGTCGCAGTTGGGAGTAATTTCTCTCGATGATGTAGCGGTCGTTTTTTGGCGGGAGGCAATCCCTTCAGTTTATCTCTGTTATTTTTTCGATAGAAACACTTGAGACTCGCCTCAAGCGAGATACTCGGATTCGAATTGAGGGATTATATTTGAATTTTACAGTTGAATCGCGATTATAAATGTAATGTCACATATATCGCAAAACTTGATTAGAATACTCGAGTCTAACTCTAAATTCAGATCCGGATATCTCAAGTTTCAAGTAACTATTATCGATACAGGCCTGACATACCGAGCGACACGGTGACTTTGAAGGCGGGACTTTTCGTGACTTTTCAGTTGATGAACACCCCACCGATCGGAAATCATAGAATATTGAGAAATCGACAAGTGTATCGCGCGCGAAGTGGACGAAGTAACGACAGTCCATTCCCTGCAGAAGCTGCTAGCGTACGAAGCGACCGCATATTTTTCCGTCGCAGATGGAGATTCTTCGCCGATCGATATCTGGCGGTAACAACGCGTAAAATGCCCATCAAACGAGCATTAATGGTGCTCAAATGTTGAATTGCTCGAACGGCCATAGAGTCGAGGAGACTCGGCTGACGGAGCCAACGGCGCGGCCCCGAAAGTCCCGTAGAGGAAGTGTAATTAAAAGACTTACGAGCTAACGAAGGTCGGAAATGAATTGCTCGTTGATAACTCAAAATCGCCTCCTCGTAGTTCTTCCTGCCCTGCTGCAAGATACCCCTGCAACAAAGAAACACATCCCATTTTTAATATCGAGGCGCGATCCGAGCGGAAAGAAGAGCACAAGTTTAACACGGGAATAGTTATCTTTTTTTTTTACGCAAACGATCACCCGGGGTCATTTAGAGCCCGATTAAAAACTGCTTTATTAACGAAATATAGCATGTTATCGGTGACTTATTATTATTTAGGGACATTCCGAATATGGATTTACTCGCAATGTTTTTGAGAAAAATGAGGAGAAACGATAACAGATATTTCAGAATCGGAATAAGCACATCAAGTGTCAGGTTCAAGGGACAGAGAAAGAATCGGTTGACAGATACGTGGGATAAAGGGCGCACGTCGGAGTGACGTTCGACGAAGCTGACGAAACTCCAGCCATTAACGAAGTAAATTAATTTTACGGTACCGCCGGTGTGCTTACCGTCGGCGCGCGCCATGCTCGCGGTACAAAGGTATTCGCCTTCTTCGATATATAACATCAAAGTGTCACGTCGCGCGCGTGCGGAGAAAGGAAAAGTTTTCCGTCTCTCAGACAGTGAGCGATTAATCTTTCCTCGGAGGACGTCACTTTCAGAAACGATATAAAAATATTACTTGTCAGGGCGATGACTTATCGCGAGTGAGGTCGCTACCGCGGTGGGATTAAATTGCGGGCGCAATAAGCGCGATTCGTAATATCTACACGCACGCACACGCATATGTGCGTAGGGCGCTCTCGCGCGAAGCTACATATTTTAGAAAGGGCTTCGGCGTCGCGGTGATTAATCTTCCGCTGTAAGTTGTCACTCGGGAAACGATGAGAATATCACTTGTCGACAGGTGAAGTATAGCCGGTAGACGACTGCGGCCCGCTGATATTTTTCTCGTCTCGCGCGCGCGTTATCGAAATCGGACCGGACGATATGGCGCGCTGCTATTTTTCTTGCCTCGCACGTGTCGCGATATTTTTCTTATTTCCGACTAGATCAGAGGCAGTGGGCAAGAGTTCACACGGGGGAGAGAGGGGAGGGCTGTCATATCGGCGGCTGCGGAAAATGCGTTTTTATCATATTTATGGTGCGCGCGTATTTTCTCGAGCTGTTAATTTTTCAAAACGGTTCCCGAGTACTAAAAAAATTATACATATATGCGTACAATAATGTGTATAAGAATATTATTTGAATATAGAATAATATTCATATAATATTCCGGGAATATTACGCGCTTATAGGATAGATGTAGCTGCATACGCGTGCGTGTCTGCAATCATTTATTATGGAGATTCTTCACGAGGATTCGCTCGCGCGCGCGCGCGCTTCAAAATCTCGACCATGCGAACTTTTCTAACGAAGCGCACGTGTACAATTTGAATTGGCTCGTAAATTACTGAGTGAACGAAGTTTGCCGTGTTGTGTTCCTGCTGCTCCGGCGCATCTCCGCCTCCGTACGAAACTATCCCCAGCTCGCTTTTTTCTCCACCGGTCTCTCATTAATGTCGAAATATAAATTAACGTCGGTGCATTCTCGCATGCCAAGGTTACTCGCGACGAACTTCTTCGCGGACCGATCGGTCTCTTCGTGTTTACCCTGTGACGTATTTTCGAGTATTTCCGAACATGGCCCTTCCCATCTCGAAACAATTAGTTTGTTACAAGAATGAAGAGTGCATTTAGCAAAGTGCAAACTGAATTTTCGCAATGACCCGGCGTCGTGAAAAAATTATACTAATGAGGACGCTTTGTACACCTCCCAGAGACGAGCGACAAACTCGAAGGGAAAAGAAGGACGAAGATGACGCAGAGAGAGAGAGAGAGAGAGAGAGAGAGAGAAAGAGAGGAGTCGAGAAAGATAGAACGGGATATTTCCTTTCCTAGCGTGCGAACCAGCAGGATGAAGAGAATCCCCGTTCGTTAACGAGCCGCTACTCTGCGTTCGTTAACTTTCAACAAGACGAAGACTTGCACCAGTGCGAGAGCGAGCGCGTATACACACACACACATGTCCGTCATTTCGCTTGCTTTTCCCCTTTCTAGCTGTCCATCTACCTCTCTCTTTCTATTTTGCAACAATCTCCGGTTTGTGTGCCAATTTGCAATTATATTCGTATTCTGTTTAACTTATTATTCAGCCCTTGGCCCATTTACCGGTGCGCCGTGCATCGCGGCGATTTAACGGATCTTTTTCAAGCGGTGTAAATTGCGAAACGCACGGCGGACAGGATCAACAAGGGGTTATGTAACGAATCTAACGTTGCGAGCAACTATGGAGAGAGAGAGAGAGAGAGAGAGAGAGAGAGAGAGAGAGAGAGAGAGAGATCCCGTTTCGATGGAACGTTTGTTACATACGAAAGTAAAAATGCAGAACACACGTTCGTGCACAGACAATACGCGAAATCTAACCCATTTCGTTCCTCTGTTTTTATACAGGAGCAGCAAATTTTCCTACCTTCAAAATTTGTTGTCCACGGTAAAGTAGATTTCGGCCTAGATCTTGTTATTGACGTATAGTTCGGACTTTTGTCTTTCAGAAATTTGGTTAAAACCTGAGAATCGCCTCTACGTTATCGTTGCTTGTAAAAGTTCGCCGTGGATTCCGGCGTCCGTTTAATGAATAAAAGGGTTGATTCATAGAACCGATTAGAACGAAACACAGAAACGGACTCGGTACAAAAAGTCCGCAAAAACGGTTAAAGCTCTCGAAAATAATAGCCAACGGTTACGACTCATTACTTTTGCAATTCTCCTTCAATAATAAAACTAATTGATTTCCCTCTGTATTTCCCGTTTGTACCCCGCAACTTTATTCCTGACCCAAATTGCAGTTCACAATTGGTGAAATACAACCGTAGCACTTTTCCAATTATCTAACCGTACCCTCCGTTTCTTATCCGATTTACGTTTTGAGAATTAGATCGCGCGCAACGTTGAACGCGAAGCGCGCGCGCCAATTTACGCGAACGCGGCAACGGGGAAGACGGATCGCATATTCCCCCCCCCCCCGGAGTCGTTCAATCGAAACGCAAAACTTAATAAAGCAGCGCGGCGCGTCAAATGCCATTACCCGTCAAACACGCGCGTACGTACGGCGGGTGGCCGCGGTGGCGGTTCAAACGACGAGCGGGCGCGGTCATCGGCAAAATAAACCGCAATCATTCGGTCGAAACGCGCGCGCGCGCGGATATAATTATACGAATTATCCCTGACTATAACGGTTTTACGACTACCGGGGAATTTTGCGACGCAACGATCGTGCCGGTATCGACGGGAGTAACGTCGCTTTTTTGATCAGAATTTTAACAGAATAGCAGGGGAAAGAATGTAAACAACAAAATACAACTGTTAAAAGGGTGCATGCATATTTTTGGAGCTAAAACCAGAGGAAGAAGGTACAGTCGAGGTCAAGAATGACTATATTTCCAGACTGGAATTTCCCACAGCTCGGGGATGTTTCCGACGGCCTCTTTCCGTCGGGAAATTTCACTCACGATTGGCGCACCGCAGCACGAGCGAGCGAAAGGAAGTTAGGAGGAGGGAACGAAGAGGGAGGGGAGGAAGACGACGCGGGAGAACGCGCGAGGTACATATAGCGGAAACGCTTCGACGCCGAATATCTGACCGTTTATGCGTCGCGCCAATAAAATAGAAACGCCCGTAAAACGGTTCGGCATAACGTGTATTGTCGATAAAAGCGCGCCGAGGAGCGCCGAAAAGTTGTCACGATTCACGACGCGCGAACGCGGCTGTCTCGCCGCCGCGAGACCGAAAATGCGAAACGCGCCAAATCGCACGACGAATCACCGCGAATCGAAGTGTTATTGCGGGAGCGGATGTAACGTTAGCAGGCGACGAGCTCGCCATTGTCGAGAGACCCGTCGTCCGGCGACGCTCGCAAAACGTAAAACGCGCGGCGGAACGTTCATACTTAACCGATTTTACGTCCGTTAATGCTTTAATGTCTCATTACCCTTCATAGACCCGATTACGGTGACATGACGATTAAAAATACAATTCCGTACTAACGAGCGCGCTTTCGAGCGAATAACCTCCGTGAATTTTTGTCAATTTCAACGCCCCGTTAAATATGAAAAGAGAAATAACAATAATAATACAAATATATCGCGCTTTTTTCTTTTCTTGAATGGCAACTGCCGGCTCGCACCTGTACCACTACTTTCGATATGTTTAAAGTCGCGCTTCTCTATTTACATCTAAAACTCTACTATTTATGTAAAAAAAAAAACCGAAGTCTATATTAGTCTGTATTTACTTTGCATCAATGAAAAAGGACTCGAATTCGCGTGACCCGGCGACTGTGACGTTACTTTTCGAACGAACTGAAATGGATTCCCCCTGTAAAATGTTGCCGTGCATGTATGAATCACCTCTGAAATAGTAGCAAGTTTTTTGCCTTCACTCTCGCTTTTTTTCGCAGTGCTTCAACGCGCGTCCTTTCCACTCGCAACTCTCGAGGTGATCCAGAGAGAGAGGGAGAGAGAGAGGGAGAGAGAGAACTCTGCTACGCCGAGAAGTCAGTCATTCCGATATAATCCGAATCAGTTTGCCGTTTATATCGCGAATTCACTCTGTCGCGTTCCATTTTCGCTCGGTCGCTCTTGCGACGTCACTTTGCCGTTGTCGTATTATTATTAGTGGCGCGTCGATTTCTGTAGTATTTTTATCGCGCATGATGCCGCGGAGAACGACCTTTGTAACGCGTTTGTAACGGCTGTATACGCGAATAGACGCGACCTATCTTTGTCCGCGTGCGAAGGAACGCGAATCGTCATCGAATATTCCTAAGCGCACGGATTTAAGCCGTGCGCAGGTAAACGCCGCTATCAAAATAAAGCTAGCGAATAATCCGATGAGGGAGGGGGGCAAATTGAAAGAAGCCAAGTAGACGAGCGGCGCAAACAAGTTTATAAATTCATTAGAATATTTTAATGTTTACACACTTACGAGGGACACTTTCTATCGATCGGACTGTGTGTGTGTGTGTGTGTGTGTTCCGGCTAA